CAGCCAGGTGCAACAGCAGCTTAGCTTTGTATCACGGACGGCGCAAATCTAGGGTGCTAAAAGTGTGCAGAAAGAAGTGAACAACAGGTGAACTTCGCAGTTGCATTCGGCACCCGAAGTATGCTTAGAGTCCAGATGTGGGGCGAAACCACCATCGCGACGCAATGATGCATGCCACAAAAGAGCAGCTGGACCTTCTGCACTTTAGTTCGATTCCTCTACGTGATCGGTGTCCCTTCCAACGCCCTCAGAAATGAGTTCCTAACTTCAAGCAAGTTCTTGCTCTCACATACCTGGACCGTCAAAATTCCAACTCAAACACGGCAATCATAGCAGGCATTTCCTGGGTGAATTGCCTTTAAGTTGGTTTGAGGGTTCGTTGGTATGTTAGTTCACTCGAAGAGTGAAATTTTATCACTTCCCAAAGCCCCGAAGCCGCAAGCCGACCTTTGAACCTTTGGGTTTTAACCAATTTTTGGGGTTCCATTTTTAGTAAAGACCCAAGGTGATCACCTTTTGTTTCCAGGTCCCTTTTTTTGGGCAAGTGAGAATTGAGTGCGTGGGCTCAGTTAGTTGCCCCTGGTTGCCTGAGGGCTGCAACAAGAACTGGCAGACTTCCTCCATTTGGCTTAAGAATATATACCTGGAGTCTCCTTCTGACCCTTCAAAAATGGGTCAACCCCATGACTTTGGGTCATGACCCCATTTTTGAAGGGTCAGAAGGAGACTCCAGGTATTTGTTCCCCTGTTGGTTTTAGAAAGAATCGATCACTACAGGAGATATGTTTTTCTCCAGGCGAAGACGCCAATGGAAGGTTTCCAAGTGTCCGGCGGTTCAAACTGCTGGTCCGTTGGAATTTGTTTTTTGGTTGGCTTTGGCATGCGCCAGGGCTATCCTTTCAATACCTCTTTGACACATGGGCTTCCATTTGCTTAAGAATATGTGTTATTTTCATCTCTTGGTTTTAAAGGGAATCTATCACTACTGGAAATACGTTTATTTTGTTCTGGAGGGCTTAAGAAATGGAAGTGGGGGTTGATCACATATTCCTGGCCCCAACATGACCGTGGTGCCATGGGTAGCTTATCCGATTGAGTGGTGAAAGTCACCTTTTTGGGTGGTTTCCCTAATGGTCACCCCATGCAAGGGCCCTTTCTCTAGGGGTAACTTCCCAATTCTGTCCAGTACTTCTTTCTAGAAAACCACCAAAAATCTTGAAGAAATGGCGATTGGTTTTTGAGAAAAGAACGATGGCTGAAAAGAATGGACAAGGAATCAACCCCTAGAATGATGGTCCAGGAACACTCAAGATTCCAACTTTACAATGGGTGATAGCAACCCAAATGTGTGGGGCGAATCTCCTTTGTAAGGGATAGTTTGAGGGTTCAGGTTAACCTTTTGGTTGAGGAATCCACCCCTATACTTTTGAACCCTCACATCGTCCTAGACTTTTGGGCTAAGGAAAGAGGGCCCTAGCCCAGCACAGAAAACACGGATCCATGGGTAACAGGCGTGTTCCCATCGCTTGAGGCCAATGAGGTACCTGAACCCTCAAACTACCCTTAACGAAGGGAATTCACCAAACCATAAACTTGGGCCTATAGCCCAGTGTTAACAGGGCTCCTTAAAAGATGCCCATTTTGCCACCATTTGAAACATGTTGCTTTTTCAACACCAAAATAAGGAAATGGACACCACCATTTGCAAGTTGCAATGTTCAGGTGTATAATGTAAGGATCCCTGTTCGAGAACATGTTTTTTCCCGTTTGGGTTCACACAAGAACACCCTTAAAGGAACCTGGACCCTCAAACTACCAAGAACAAGGGAATTCACCAACCATAAATTTGGGGCTATAGCCCAGTTTTATGTTGGCATTCTGAGGATCCAGGTAGCATCCCGGTCAAAGTAGGACTTCGTGGTGGGGCCACAAGGATTCTCGCAAGAAACCCATCGCTCCAAGGGTTTTTGTATTACACCCTGGGATTACGCCCACTGGGAAATGACCCCATTTAGGCATATGTCTGGCTGCTTTTTCTGGGTCAAAGGCAAAAAAAGGGTCTTTCATGGTTGTTGTTGGGAAATATTTTGCATTTTTGCTTATTGTGGTTTAGTGGGAAGCGTCAACCAAGATTTTGGGGGTCCAGGAAACCAATCGCGGTCAAGAAGCGAAAGGGGGTTGCAACAGAGAGGGGGGTCGACAAAAAGGCTACGAAAAGCAATGGGGTCAGACTTCTTGCTCAAATTCGTGCCCCCTTGTTTGGAATCCTAATTATCTGATTCATCACGATAAGAAGAACTCGGTGGCTTTGGCTCTTGCATCGGGCAAGGTGTGCTCAGATAGAGAAAGCCAAGCCATTCCCCGGCTCGGGGATTGGATGGAACACTCCAACACTCTTCGGTTCCTTTTATTGAAGCTGACTTCTATTTGCTTTTGCATATGTCTTATTTCCCCATGTTGGTTTTAAAAGGGAAACTATCCTAGGTCCCCCAGTAGTGCCCTTTTACCCTTTTGTGGGGGAGGCTTCCCCTACTGAAATAGACTAAAGGGTATACCCTTTATTCTAACCTTTCTACTGGACCTAGTTTAAAGGCGTCCCTTTGGGGCCAGAGCCTAAGTCATGCCACGTACGTGATGTTCGAAAGCCTGCGCCATCGCAGGCCCCATATCCCCAATGGCGACATGGGAAGCCACCTGGGTGTGTCACGACTTTTTGGTTCCCTTTTTAGAGGCCGAAGGGACACCCAGCCTTGAAATTCCCAAGCCTACAGACACACTTGCCCTCCCATAGCAGGTCTATGGTGCGAGCCCGGCCAGAAATCCCTGCGGAATGACATCCGCCTTCTAAATTATATGGTTCTGGGTAGACCATTTTAATACCAAGCTTTGATTTGTGACTCACCTGGTTTCAGGGGGGTGTCCTTCGATTTCAACATCTTTCATGCCACTCTCGGACGCCGCGCACACTCCGTTCTGGCTTGAAGCTCGGCCGCGGCGCGATCGTTCAATCATCCGGTAAGCCTCGACACGCGCCCAGCATGTGGGTGGGACCAAGGGCTGTTTTTTGTTGGATTCGTTTGAATATGTAAATATTAATATATATATATATATATATATAGGGGACTCTCCCATACATGGCAACGGTTTCCTCTTGGTTTCCCTTCAAAACCAACCAACAGGGGCCCTTCAAAAAAGATGACCGCGCTTTTTGCCACAGTCGGTCGACCCCTTGTAAAGGCCCAACAAGTGTCTCGGTGTTGCCAGTCAACACGTCAGAATGTTTAGAGTTCTGCGGGTGCAATTAAGTATTTCTGCGGTTGGCAGGGAAACCAAAGTGAAACCAATGGGGCAGGGTTGTGGACATTACCCACTGTGATACCAATGGGAGGCCTTTCTTAAATGGCGAATTCTCCATTCAAAAAACAACAACATGTGATCACTTATTTTTTAGGAGCCTAAGGGGCAAGTGAGATTGTTGTGATTATGTGATGTTTTTCTGCTGGATGTCGGATTTCCAAGTGGCTTGCCCCGGTATGTGCACTGCAACCCAAAGGGACTTTCAAAAACAGGGTTATTGAGCACTCGGGGGCGCGCTAGTTACTTGAGTTTTTTTACAGACCAACAGGGCCCCTTGCAAACTTCTAAAAGCCCCCCTCTTTAATTGCGAAAGGAAGGTTTTCAATATGATCAGCCAAATCGGATGTTCCACAAATCTACTGGTGGCTTCCCCATCCCGCAAAACATCATCGATTACGCTCTGATCGTAAGGGCCTTCCTGGAATATGGAGTATTGCGAACTTTTTGCAAAAGAGACCCCTCTATTTGCGTAGAAACCTTGGAGGGGGTTTGCCACACTTCCTTAAAAGGATGTCTGAGTTTTTTGGGGGGCCCAAGAGTGGCCAGAGTTTTTTCCAGTTTCCCTGAAACCATCTTAAAAAGCCTAAGCTAAGGGGTTTTCCAGAAGAAGCCACTAAAAGTGAAACTGGCAGGGGAGCAGAAAGCATTCGAGAAAAATGAGGCCCAACCAAAGGCCTCGTTTTACTCCTCTCCTTTCACTTCTCCGCGCTGATCCTTCTCCCCTTGCTGTTTTCTGTCCAATTGGATTTCCACGTTGCCACCCGCACGGGGGGCGAATTGTCTTGACTGCTATTGGGTTGCATCTTTAAACTTTAACTTTTTTGGGAAATCAAGGGCTTTTCCACGAAACCCCAAAAAGTTAGATTTTTTGCAGCGGGGGGTCAACAGCAACCAAGTACTATCCTCCTTTTCTTTCTCCAGCACATCTCCCATATGTCGCATTACGTATTCTTGTGGACATATCCCTTGGGACAAAGTTGCTCTTTCACGGCGCAACCATATTTTTGGATCATGGTTTTTCCTTTGGTTCTCCACTCAAGTTTCCTGAGAAGCCCCCAAGGCACCTCATTGTTGGTTCAAGGCAATTCAAATTCTCGTCCAAAACCAAGGCATCTTTCTTTCTGGTCTCCGAGCCCGGCGGAAGCTCCTTCTAACCGCCCATATATGTGACGTGCTTTCTTTTTTCCTTTTTTCTATCAACCCACATGTGACGGTGTTTCTTTTTCCCAACAACCCATATATGTGACGTGTTTGTTTTCCTTGCGGCTGCCGCCCAAAAATGGGCCGACCCAAAACTGGCGACCCAACGAGTCCAAGGCCACGGGATCTGTTTCAGCCCTTGTTGCAAATCGACCTGATCTAACCTGAATGGGTTTTCCAATTTTGGATCCTATTTCAGTAAAGGCGATCTAACCCAATGTTTGGTTCCTATTTTTTGATCTAACCTTTGGGTTGCGTCCATTTTTTTGGTAAAGGCAACCCAACAGGTGATCACCTTTTATTTCTGGGGCCAAACGGGAGACTGAGATTCTGGTGGCTGAGGCTCCTTAAAGCAAGACACCCTTGGGCCACCAGTTGGGGCCATACGGCTTTGGTCCTTTTAACCAAAGCACAGCCCGACTCGACGCGCCAACTCGCGCCAGCGCCAGCGCCCGCCTACTGCTGGAAGCTGAGGCTATGCCCGCGATGTCCAAGATCGCCCTCTTCTCGGCCGGAGCTGCCGGCGCCGCCTTTGTGGTGCCGAGGTGCTGCGCGAGTTCGCCGGACCACGACCCGCTAGGTGTCCAAGCGCACGCATACTGAAATGGTGTAATTGCCGCGGGTTTGGTGGTTGGTTGGATTGTTGGTAGATTGTTTGTTGTTTGGATTGTTTGTTTGTTGGATTGTTTGTTGGTTGGTTGGTTGGTTGGTTGGTTGGTTGGTTGGTTGGTTGGTTGTTTGTTTGTTTGTTTGTTTGTTTGTTTTGCTTGATTGTTTGTTTGCTTGGGTTGTCGGTGAAATTGTATGCTCATAGGTCCCAGGCGATGCTAATCTGTGAAATAATTGCCGGAATCTGGGATCGGCCTTGGTGTCAAAGGGTTTTGTGTGCTCATGTACGAACCCGTAGGAGCCCACTTGGGTTTCTCAGAAAGGCTACAATTGCTTAAAGGCGAAAACGGGTACGTCAAGTAAGTGGTTAATTCGTAAGCCTGGTTCTAACCCACTGAACGGAGACTAGTAACCATGGCTTCCGTGGGTTATCTCACCATGGCTATTGCCTACTTACCTGACGTATAAGGCCTCTTTAAGTGGTGGTTTGTTAAGCAGCACAGCGTAAAAATACAAGAGGTTCTTGCATGGCTTCGTGCATGCCTTTGAGCTGCCAACCAAACTCACAACCATGGCGGGGGGCGGCTCAAGATCCTCTTGCATGCTGTGTGTGTGTGTGTCTGTATATGCAAGGTATGAACCTTGGAAATGGTCAGGATTCAAGTCTATTCTAAAGGCAGCTGTCCAATTAACATTTGCTTGTCAGGTTTGTGTCTAGCAGGATGCACCCAGCAGAACCTTCCTGCACCATGCAGGTGCATGTTCACTTGCCCAGTGGAGATGGTTGCTCCATAGCAGTTTCACCGAAAAGGTCCATCAGCGAGCTGACGGCTGCAGCACAGCAGCATTTCCAGCGGCGCTTGAAGCTCACTGCGAAAGGCCAGCAGCTCGATTTCGGGGCCACGCTCGGGGAGGTTGGGTTGCGAGATGGGGACGTGGTAGCTGCGGTTGTGAACCTTGGCCAACTGGCTGCCACCCGTGGGGCGTTTGCTTGGCATGGCCACGGGGGCGAGGTTGTGAGTTGGGGTGATCCAGATGATGGCGGAGACAGCACCCAGGTGCAAGAGCAGCTGAGGAACTTCCAGCACATCCAAGCATCCGATTGTGCTTTTGCTGCCATTCTCGAATCTGGGGCTGTTGTGACCTGGGGTCGAGCAGGTTGCGACGCAGACAGCAGCCAGGTGCAAGAGCAGCTAAGGAATGTCCAGCACATCCAAGCAACTAGCCATGCTTTTGCTGCCATTCTTGAATCCGGGGCTGTTGTGACCTGGGGTCATCCAGACTCTGGCGGTGACAGCAGCCAGGTGCAAGAGCAGCTGAGGAACGTCCATTGCATCCAAGCAACTAGCAAGGCTTTTGCTGCCGTTCTTGACTCTGGGGCTGTTGTGACCTGGGGGGATCCAGACTGGGGCGGAGACAGCAGCCAGGTACAAGAGCAGCTGAGGAAGGTCAAGCACGTTAAATCAACAAGGAGTCAGTTTGGTGGTGCTTTTGCTGCCATTCTTGAATCTGGGGCTGTCGTGACCTGGGGTCATCCAGAGCTCGGCGGAGACAGCAGCCAGGTGCAAGAGCAGCTGAGGAACGTCCAGCACATCCAAGCAAATTATGGTGCTTTTGCTGCTATTCTTGAATCTGGGGCTGTTGTGACCTGGGGTCGTCCTCAATATGGCGGAGACAGCAGCCAGGTGCAAGAGCAGCTCAGGAACGTCCAGCACATTCAAGCAGCTGATCTTGCTTTTGCTGCCATTCTTGGATCTGGGGTTGTTGTGACCTGGGGAGGGGCAGATTCTGGCGGAGACAGCAGCCAGGTGCAACAGCAGCTAAGGAATGTCCAGCACATCCAAGCAACTAGCCGTGCTTTTGCTGCCATTCTTGAATCTGGGGCTGTTGTGACCTGGGGCCATGCAGAGTTCGGCGGAGACTGCAGCCAGGTGAAAGAGCAACTCAGAAACGTTCAGCACATCCAAAAATCTCGATTTGCTTTTGCTGCCATTCTGGAATGTGGGGCAGTTGTGACCTGGGGTGAACCACACAGCGGCGGAGACAGCAGCCAGGTGCAAGAGCAGCTGAGGAACGTTCAGCACATCCAAGCAAATTATGGTGCTTTTGCTGCTATTCTTGAATCTGGGGCTGTTGTGACCTGGGGTGATCCAAAAGAGGGCGGAGACAGCAGCCAAGTGCAAGCCCAGTTGAGCTTGTAGTCTAGTTTGGTTGTACTATTCTATTATAGATTGCGGAAGTCTGAGGCGCTGAAATGGATTTAGAAATTTAGAGTGTAGATTTCGGGTGTACAAGACGAAACCAGTGACATCGATGCAATGCTGGCAAAAGACCGACCTGTAGTTGCACAGGCCTTGCTGGGGTTCTTTTCATCACAAACCGCCGCTCGATGTGGCGGCTCGCTCGGTACCCATTTTGGGGGGCATCGTGTGGGCGAAATCCATGGGCTCCGCAATTTTTGCCGGGGTGCCGCGGTGAAAACACCTCCCTAAAAAAATATGGCTGAAACATGGGAATAGCACGCAGCAATAAACCCAGGCACCTGGACACTCAAAACTTAAACATGGGAATTATAGCAGCCCAGATTTATCTTGGTGGCTCCCAGCCATCCCCTTTGCTTTTTAGCCTTTTAGTCTTAGTGTCCAGTGGACTTTTAGCGGGGGATCTGAGCACAGCCCTGTTATGGTTGGATTCCCGTTCAGGTGGTCACGCGTCACTTGGCAAGGATGCAACCGATCTTGAGCTGCCGGTTTTTTGGTGGGCCCCGATCTGAAGGGGGAGTCACAACTAGGTCCCCCAGCTAGGTGCCCTTTTTGGCCTTCAATTTTGGTTTTTGAGGGTTCCCCTACTAAAATAGACTACAGAAAAAAAGAGACGGTGCCCTTATTCTATCCTCCAAAACTGGAGGACCTAGACAAGGAACCCCTGGCAATCTAGCTTGGAATGTGCACTCAGCTTGCTGGTGCGAGAGATGCAGGGACTGAATGGAATGACCCCTATCAGGTGGTTTCAGGGTTGTGGTTGATCACTCGGGGGGTTTGTCCAGCCACTGTGATACTTTTGGGAATCCCCTTTTTGAATGGCGGGGTAGTCTTTGGGGGACCTTTTTCTTGTATCACAGAAGTGGATTCCATTTCCCACAGCCCTGGATGGTTCCGCTGGAATTGCCCGGTCATTCCCTATCGCAAGCAAGGGGGCCTTTTCTAGTGGCCTGTTCAAAGGTAATCCTTAATCCTTGCCTGGGGTTACGCAAGGATCTGGTCGCCTGCGGCTTTCCTATAGGGGATTATGGAGTAGGATCCAACCCTCAATTTTCAACAGCCCAGGTCTCATTTTAGTGGACCAAACGTTTGTCTCAACTTTGGGCCAGTCAGCTCAGCAGCTCTTGAAAGTTCAGTTGGTCAAGAAAAAGGCGGTTCAGTTCGTGCTTGTTTTTATGAGGTTCAAATAAGGCCTACATAAGCCTTTACAAGCATTTTGGTAGAACTACAGGTCAACTGAATGTATACGTCCATACATGAACCCCTGGTCATGATGAACCCCTAGCTTGTGGGCTAGTTCATCGTGAGGTATCGCTTCGGGCCCAAAATGGATTTCCATATATGGACCTGTACACCGGGGTAGACTTAGGATACAATTTGCATTTTACCAGTGACTCACTCAAAGTGAAGCAAACAATACAATATACATTCTATAACTCGGCACAACTCTAGTCATGTACAATCAGCCTTTTAAAAAGTCAATGGGTGAAACGGGCGCTGCAACAGAATGTGTGGGGGGTGCGGCGCCAGAACCGCCGGGCGGGCCGTTCTCCGCATCGGAGAGATGTCTCGCAGGGAGCAGACGGCCCGATTGCGCGGCGGGGGCCGGGCAAATCTCCGGCCTCAGGTAGGCGCGGTGCTTGGGAGGGGAGCGGGGTGGGGTTTCAGGTTTGAAGGGTTGATAGTAGATAGGTGTCTTTGGTTGTTTTGGTAGAAAAAATAATAATCTTGGGGATTCATGGCTGACGTTGGTTGGTTGATAGGTGTCCGTTTTGGTTGTTTTGGTAGAAAAAATAATAATCTTGGGGATTCATGGCTGACGTTGGTTGGTTGATAGGTGTCCGTTTTGGTTGTTTTGGTAGAAAAAAATAATAATCTTGGGGATTCATGGCTGACGTTGGTTGGTTGATAGGTGTCCGTTTTGGTTGTTTTGGTAGAAACAAATAATAATCTTGGGGATTCATGGCTGACGTTGGTTGGTTGATAGGTGTCCGTTTTGGTTGTTTTGGTAGAAAAAAATAATAATCTTGGGGATTCATGGCTGACGTTGGTTGGTTGATAGGTGTCCGTTTTGGTTGTTTTGGTAGAAAAAATAATAATCTTGGGGATTCATGGCTGACGTTGGTTGGTTGATAGGTGTCCGTTTTGGTTGTTTTGGTAGAAAAAATAATAATCTTGGGGATTCATGGCTGACGTTGGTTGGTTGATAGGTGTCCGTTTTGGTTGTTTTGGTAGAAAAAATAATAATCTTGGGGATTCATGGCTGACGTTGGTTGGTTGATAGGTGTCCGTTTTGGTTGTTTTGGTAGAACAAATAATAATCTTGGGATTCATGGCTGACGTTGGTTGGTTGATAGGTGTCCGTTTTGGTTGTTTTGGTAGAACAAATAATAATCTTGGGGATTCATGGCTGACGTTGGTTGGTTGATAGGTGTCCGTTTTGGTTGTTTTGGTAGAACAAATAATAATCTTGGGGATTCATGGCTGACGTTGGTTGGTTGATAGGTGTCCGTTTTGGTTGTTTTGGTAGAAAAAATAATAATCTTGGGGATTCATGGCTGACGTTGGTTGGTTGATAGGTGTCCGTTTTGGTTGTTTTGGTAGAAAAAATAATAATCTTGGGGATTCATGGCTGACGTTGGTTGATCTACCACCGTCGGTGGGTGTTCGGTCTACTTATGTGTGTTTTTGTGAAAGTGGCAACGGGTTCCCTTTTGACTGCTTCCCAAAAGCTCGGGGGGGGGGGGGTGGGGGGGCGCTGCCAGGTTTTGGTTTGCTTCCTCGGGCCCCATGAATGCGAGGGAAGGTTCATGTTCTGCCTAGCCCCCAAACTGGGCCGTCTTTCTTTGGTTTCCTTCTAAACCAACCCCAAAAACAAGTACCTGGAGTCTCCATGACCCTTAAACAATTGTTGGTCATTACCAAAAATAATGGGGTCATGGACCAATTTTTTTCAGGGTCATGGAGACTCCAGGTACCCTCAACAAAAACACACACCCGTTTCTCTTTTGTCCAACACACTTTTCATCGTCAGAATTTCACTTCCCCTTCATAAAAAAACAGCAAATCACACAGAGATAAATTTGGAGCAGGAGTCTTCGGAGGACAACATCTTCCAGCATGGCTACCCAAATTGGGGGGTCGCTCTGTTCAAGGCTCCTCACTGGAGACTGCCTCTTTTCGCCGGTTTGGAAGGCTCCCAAAGAAGTTCTCGGAGGAATTGGTGACGGTGTGTTCCTGTTAAAGAAAAGGCCGTCCTTATGAAAACCCACCAACAAAATTGGGTGCCGCTGCAACAAAAAGACGAGCTTCAAAATGCCCAAGATGGGAATTCGAGCAACCCAAATTTATGGTTGGATCTTTTTCAAGTTGGTAGTTTGAGGGTTGGAGCCACGAATATGCACAGGCCCTTACAACTCCTGCGCTTGAGCTCGCGCAGGCAGCTCCCTGCTCTTTGGCGCCGGGGTCGCCGGGGTGGCCGGCCTTGCGGCGTCGCTAACGACGACGCACCCCAGGAGCGCGAAGCGCGGGAATATCGGAAAAGCGCGACGTGTCGACACGTCGAAGCGTCGAAAGCAAAAAGCTCCAGCCCCCAAGACTGGAGCCTTGGACCCGATTTCTGGGGTTCCTTCAAGCCGATTCAAGCCCCTCAAAGAATGAAATCGGTCCAAGACACTCCCGAGGCGTTGTTTCAAAAAAGGCGTGACTCGATCCCGATCCCTTTGGGTGTTTGTAAATGTATATTTCTTGTTTATTGTTTGCGTCACGGAGATGCCAGGGTTGTGCTGTTTTGTCGCGTTCTATACCTTGGCTCCCATCCATCCCGGCTCCTTAGCTTTTTAGTTCCTTTTAGTGTTTAATGCTTGGATTTCAACAGATTTCACCCACAAGTGAAATTTTTTAGCGGGGGATCAAGCAGAAACGGACAGCCCAGCGGTCCGTCTTCTCGTTCGGAGGACTCCGGAAGGCTTTTTTGAGCGGGGGGGGATGTGGTGTCACCGTTTGAGCGGGGGTTCCTCAGGGAGACGACCGTTTTTAGTGAGATCTTTGCAGAGATCTCTTCAAATAGCCCTCGGAGGTTCTTGGACCGATTTCCTTTCTTTGAGGCCTGGGGCACTTTTCGTTTTTGCGGGGTGACTCCCTGGGATCCTTCACGTCTTTTCGGACTTTTTGGGGTTTGCGGGGGACTTAGTAAGGTGGTGATCGCCAGGAAGGGGTGTGTCACCCCCTTATAGGGTTCACCCCACTTCGGGGGGCTTGTAAGTGGGGTATAACCTAGGTTGCCAACAACTTACTAGCTTGCCCGAACACCCAAGTAGGCAACGGGGAAGGACACCAAACTTTCTCGTGCATGGTTTAGATAAGAGTCTTGCACGTTGCCCCCGCCTGACCTTTATTTACTTCCCCAAACCTTTGGAAATACCAGCCCCAACTTCTTTCAAACCGTTAAATGACTTGCTGGACCCTCATAAGTCCAACTCAATACTGGGCAATAGCCCCAAAATTCAGGGGGGTGAATTATTTTGTTTTTGGTGGTTTGAGGGTCCAGGTTCCTTTTAGGGTGTTCTTGTGAGTCGTGGGGGGTGGTCAGGGTTTTGGAGCCCCATTGAATCCCTTTGGGCGGGAACATGGTTGCCAAAGACGAACGTCATTCTCTGGTGACTGATCGGGATCATCTTAGGCGTTTTACCCAGAATCTGCTCTCGTTACTTGATTGTCCTTTGGATAAATCCGGGGACCTATCCTAAGTCTTAGAGGAACCCCGTAGAATAGATCATGTCCTTACCAAAAGGGGCTTGCCTCAGTTTGTTCGGTCCTCCTTGTACTCCTTGCAAGGAACCACCGAGAAGGATCAGTTCTGTGGCACCATCAAACAAAGCGGTCCAAGACAGAGACCTTCGGTAATGTTTGTTCATTTCCAAGGCCAGCAAGTCATGGACAGAGCTGCCAGATGTGGCGCCTTGTGCTCCCGGGATTTTCTGGCGCTACATTGGCAAGAAGTGGCCATAATGCACGCTCTGTGGCATGCCTTACCAGCGCCATTGCTGGGCCCAAGTACTACAACTCCAGCTACAAATGCACGTAGCTGCACGGCCATGGCGCATCCACTCAAGATCCATGTTTAGTGACTAGGTCCCCAAGTAGTGCCTTTTTACCGTTTCTTGTTTGGGGAGGGTTCCCCTACTAAAGTAGACAGAACAAATATCGGGTACCAACTTATTCTAACCTCTCTACTGTCAATCCCAAAAGTGCAATTACCACCAGTCACGAGCCCTTGTTTCAACCACCAGTTACCGAATCTGGGGGTTTGGAGGTTTGGCCCTACCCCCCCCTCCCCCCCCCTCCCCCCTCCAAGAGGCCTTGAATAATACAAGGTGCTTTAGGTCCCCTTGAACATCAACTGCCCACCTGCCCAACATGGAACCCAGCAGAGACAGTCGACTTTTTGCAAAAACATCGCCCAAACCAACCCTTCTACGTCAGGTTCTCCATGTCCGTGGAGGGGACCCAACAAGACTCCGAGGGCTTCTTTGGTTCAACTGGAAGTCGGCTGGAGCCGTCTTCATAATGTTAGTCTTGTTCTGCTTTGACTTCACTTTTCTGTTTTCAAAAATGAGTCGTTTCTTGATACCCCCAGGAAAAGAACCCCCCCAGAAAGCAAAAACAACGCGGAAAAAAGCAAAGAAAAGAACGTCGGCCGGGGGAACCCCCCAGCAAAGCAAAAAAGAAGAAGAAACGGAGAAGAAGAAACAAAAACGCGCTGGGCTTTTGCTCGCGACTGTTGCTCCAGGACCTCAGTGGTCCGCTGCGCCTACGACGCCTCCAAGGAACCGACAAAAAGTGGCCATGTGGAAGTCTGGCTTAGTTGGCTAGGTCCCCCAGCCAGGTGCCCTTTCTCACCCCTTTGTTGGTTGGGAGGGTTCCCCTAATAAAATAGACTACAGAAAAAGTTGGTACCCTTACTCAACCTCTGGAGGACCTAGTTGGAGTTGCTACTCATTTTTGGTTTCAAGAGAAACCTCTAAGTTTCGGCGAGGGGTTTTGGTTTTTCAGTGGATCCACATACCTGGTGTTTTTCGGGAAAGAGAACCAGCCGATTGAACTCAACAGGAACATGGCCGGTGAACTCTATGGGCGAAACGCCTGGGATCCGCTGGGAGGTCTTGAAGGGAACCATGACCAACCAGGATTTTTTGGGTACCCCCGTAACCTCCAAACGATTCGGCCTTTTTCCAGTTGGTATATTTTTTCGGAAAAACCGGTTTCGGGTTTCCAGGGTAAATACCGATCCCTTTTTTAGTAGAGGGTCGACAAATCATACCCTAAAAAAAGAGTTGGTATGGAGTAGGGGGTAGTCTGACCAAGCTTGCCGCTTTCCGAAGGCTCACCTAGGTCTTGCCAGTCGGTGCCCGACCTCTCGCCCCTTTGGTCGGGAGGGTTCCCGTACTAAAATGGACTACACCAAAAATCGGGTACCAACTGATTCTAGCCTCCAAAACTGGAGGACCTAGTCAGTTCCCCCGACTCCGGCGCTTTGAACCGATTTTTTCTTGGTCGATTTTGGTGGTCCCACAAGGTGATCACCTGGGGGTTCAATGCGAGGGGTTCCCCAAGACTCTCGAAGGAAACCTGGGACCCTAAGCAACCCTAAGGAACTGTGAACCCTAGGGCTCTCAACCTTGTACCTCAGGGATTCCTTTGATTCACATGTCATTTGGGCAAGTGATTGGGATAGTAGTGCCAGTATCCTGCAAAAACGCTCCTCACTTCCTGAGTTCATGAACTTCAAACTTTTTGGGAAGACCATTTTAGCGGTAAATATAAAGTTTGAACTTGTTTTGGGCCATCCACTCAGCCAGCGAGGCTTTAAACCTCACCTTTTTTCGATTTAAGGCGAGCTTCCCGGGTTGACGCTTCGGTCCGGAATTCTCGGGAGTGCGACTTTTGGTTGGCAGAACCGGCAATGAGTTTTGGGGGCCTCTGAACCGAACCGGGGGGATTTTTGTCAAAGTTTGTCGGTCTCTCAAAATCGATGGATCGATCCGGACCGGTTCGTTTTTTTTTTTGTTTTTTTCCCCGAACTGGTGTCCCACCTGGAGTCTCCCAAATTGGACTCGAAATAACAATCGGTTGACCGAATGATTCTGGGCAATGAGCAACCAAATTTTACGGGAGGTGTTTAGGGAGACTCCAGGTACAAAGAGGGTTCCAACTCACAAGAGTCGCCGTTTTAGCTTCAAAGGGGCACCAAAGGAGCTGCGTCCAAAACGTACGTGTACATGTTTAGTAAGAGTCTTGTCATATCAACCTGTGCGCAAGCCAAATCTCCACGCGTAAGGTCGCGTAAGCTTGCAAGCCTAAGCAAAACCTCCACATGTGTCGCGTAAGGAAAAGGGCGTAAGCTAGTGGCATATGCGAAATGATACGACATAGCAAATCCTGACACGTTAAGGACATGGCTCAAAAGGAAAACCACCAACTGTTCGGGCCCAAATCCATATTTTCACCCCCGCCCCCCCCCAAGTGGCGGTTTTCCCCAAAACGGTGACTGCAACTTTCTGCCAGATGTGACTCCATGGGAAATCGAATCACCACCAAAATAGACTTCTTCTGATTTTTTGTTTGAGGCGAAGAGCGGTTTTGGGGTGGGGTGCAAAAAAAACCAAAGCCGGAAAAGTCATTTTTTAGTGTCCGAATCCCCGAACCTTCAAACTACCAACTTAAACGCGAATTCAACAACCGTGAATTTCGGGTTGCCATATCCCATGTTGGAATTTTGAGGGTGGGCAATCCTTTTCTTTAGGACACCACAATGAACACACGGCGCGACTTCTGACACCTTGAAATCTGTCTTTCGATGGTTGCCTTTGCCTTTCATTTGCTGAAATGTTAAAATCAAGGCCCCTGTTGGTTTTAAAGGGAATCGATTTCACTACCATATGTTTTCATTTTTTCCCCGGGGCGCAAAAGCAAATGGAAGTTGCTGAAGGTCCTTGACTTGCGAGTTCACGTGGATCATACTTCAGGTTTTTGGTTTTTCCTTAGGCTCCTATGTTTGTCCTGTGTCCCGCGTCTCTCCCTATCTAAGGAGATTCTTGATGTTTCCTGGAACTAAGGAGCAATGGTCAAGACAGCTAAATGGGCGGCTCGTCTATCTTTAAACCCCCAAAATGGATCTCGTTGTTTCCTCTTCTCTTTCAACCCCTCCCCCAAAAAAAATAACCGGAGCCCTCAAAACAAGACATGCACACGTGGAACAGCTGTCACATGACCATTGCTCAAGGGATGCACAAAGCTCAAGTGTACCTTGAGTCTCCGTTTACGGACCCTTTAAGGAAGGGGTTGTGACCCCTTAGCATGGGCACCTTTTTAGGGTTGGCCTTCATTTGTGCTGAAATCCCACGAAATTTAGGGATCTCGGAGAGGACTACCGAACGTGCACATGGAAGGGGGGTGAGTGGCTCGTCTGTCGAGAAGCGGGCTAGATGTGAGGGGCCCAAAGAACTTTAAACACCAGGTGATTGACCCCCTAAGAGTTAGACCAGACCTTGCCCATCTTTTTTTTATAAAAAAAAAACCCAGACCCCCCCCCCCCCACACTTTTAGCAACATTTAAAACAGCACCTCAAACAGCACATTCTCAAAAATCAACATTTTAAAGCAGGTAATTTCCTAGTAAGTTCATCCATATTTTAAAATATAAATTTCAAAGAATAAATTTTACATTGTTTTTTAAATAAATAAATATTTTTTTTTAAAAAAAAAGTAATAAATTTTCAATAAATAACAATTTTCAACAATATAATTTTACAAAAAGTATTATTCCAAAAAATATGATAACTTATTTTACAATAAATTTTATCACAAATTTTGTAGACATATTATGGGCAAGGTCTGGTTCATTCGTTTTTGAGGGGGCACCATTCTTCTTTAATTCTTTCTTTTTTTTCACACGTTGTTTCATTATAAATATTATTTCCTATTTTTTTCTAAACATTCCCATTATTCCAATTGCATGTGTTATTGTATATCTAAGTTCGTCAATTCTATACTCATAATTTAAAAAACTCATTTAAAAAATCAAAGTCATTATCGATCAATACATCATATTTTAAACGTTTAATATGAAAAGACATATTGTATAATATTTTTACCATACTATAACACTTAAACATAAGTTCATTATTATATCCTTCGTCGTCACATTCTAATAAATTACCAAACTCTTCTATAGTTAAGAAATTATTCATTTCAATAAACACAAATATTTCTAAATCATCATCAAGAGTTTCAGTATGTATAATATAAATATCTTTGTTATTCATATCATCAATTTTGTTTATAATTATATTGCAATTATTGCATATCATGTATTGACAAATATTATTACAAACGCCATTTGTAAAACCCTGTTCAATTGGTAATTGTAGCATCTCACAGTCTTCACATTTATAACTCATAAACTTTGTGTTCAATATATTTTTAGCATCAATATCATCACGGACTGTATCACTCATCACACTATATAATAGTATTATAAAATATTTCTTTAAATACTTTTTACAATCATTTTAATTTTAAATTAAAATTAAATTAATAAATTGAAATTAAATTAATGAATTAAAACTAAATTTATAAATTAAAATTAAATTAAATTAAAATTATAATTGAATTATGATAATTTAATTAAAATTATATATACATTATGATTAATATTAGGATTGTTAAAATTGGATTATCATCATTAAAACCTAAATCCCGTGCAATTGTACAAACAGAACCACTGCCTGAAAATCATTATAATATATTATTAGAATTATTTATATTTTAATTTTCAACAATTACATATTTACCATCATCACCCTTAATTAGTTTATAATATTCTAATGTTTGTTCTTTTGGACTTTTGATTTGTCCCTTATTTAACATATCACAATATTTTTTACGCTTCGTGTCATAATCACCGCTGGGTCTGCCTATCCCTTTCTTTTCAAAGATCTTATCAATCTTTTCCTTCTCTTCATTGCTATTTTTTGGTTCGTTTGCCTTTGCATCAAGTTTCTGGTCAATAGTTTTTTATCATCTCATACAACAGTTTAACATTTTTACTAACTGTCATTACCTTCTTTGATAGTTCAGCAATAGCATCATTCTCAACTTCAGACATTTCTATATATATATATATTTATTTATATAATTATTTTTTTAAATATATATTTATTTATAAAATTGATTTAATGTTAAATCTACTCTTTAAATACTATGTTATTACCCCATTAAACCTAACATTGACTAAATTGTCATTTGTTTCTATTGTTATATCTCCGTCCTTCTTCTTTACTACACTCATTTCTTGGTCTTTCTTCTTGACTGATAACATACACGGAATACATTTAATATTAACACCGCCTTTTTATCTACTATTAATTCATTTTGAAAGTTCATAATATGATTACATTTATCACATTTTATTTCTTTACACACACCTAATGATTTAACACTTACTGTTGTTTCTTTCCGAGCTTCAATATCTGGCATTGGTCTTTCGTTATCTAATATTGAATTTGATTTACTCTTTTTCTTTCTTGGCATTTATATTAATATTTACTTTGTATTTTTGATATATTGTATTCCTAGTTTTATTAATTCTAATGTATAATAACAGCATTTCTTAATTTTATTGTCAGTTATTATTACTTGCTCTATACTCTCTACTTCATCTATTATATCAATATAATCTGAATAACTTCTATCCATATTAAATAATAAGATAAATTATTCTAATTAATCTTATTATTTCATGCATAATAGAATATTGGTGGGGCAC